TGCAGAATCCCCTCACTGATTACACTGTAAATGATAATCTACCTTAACCAAAATCAAAATAGACTATCACTCACCCACACCAGATAGAAACTCTACAGACTGTATATATATATTAAGGCCTAGTTGAAAGCATACATTATGATTGGTTTCAACGTTCGACTGCCTAGAGGAGCTGATAAGAAACCCGAGAAAAGTCGGTCTGTGGGATCTTTTAGCTCGTCGAGTTATGAGCGTCTTTGAAAAAAAGGGCCAAAAGCGCCACCAAAACAGACGTGAACCGATGAAGGTCCCACAAATTCATACTAATCAATAAGTCTACGACCTATATCAATAGTCAATTGTGGTATAAATACGATAATAATGAATGTGATAGTTGAGGATCAAGTCTCAGGACAAGTATGCATGCGGTTGGGGGTGCAAATGTACCTACTTTCCCTTCGGGAGGGGTTACCGTTTTGACAACACCTTAAGTCTTGAGGGGTTTCTTATGCGCTCACAACTACTCTCGAGGGTCTTTCCTGCTTGTTCTGACCCAGTCTTAGTTCCCCAGAGCTCATCTTACGCAGCCCGCACCCTATTTGGCCGAACAAGTCTTTATGTGAGTAGTGGCTAACGCGCCATCCTTCCAACATCTGCCCCGCTTTCTGTTTAGGTGAATGCTTTCTCCATCCCAGGTCGCGCCAGTAGGCGCCCGCAAAATCTCACAATGCACATGGTTGCGATACCCAGTTTGGGAATCATTCTCCATCCCCTACACCTCCCAACACTTAATGGCGATGGTTGTCGTCAACATCATGATGAAAGGTGGAAGTCGACTCCCCGTTTCACTGCAATCATGTCAGTGGAGTGGTGACGGTGTGGTGCGCATCGGCTCCCGCCTTTTTTACAAAAGGTGAGAACCCTCCCGGCCATGTCACGCAGGAGTAAAACGTAACAAAAACAAGAGTCAAACTTGGGGACGACATAAGATAATCTCGCGAACCACCAAGACGGGCGGGGTCGCATCATTCCTTCACCGCTCTAGCCGGGTGTGCCAGCCGTAATTCTCACGGTCCCCCATGACTGAATAGGTTCCCGCGGGGCATAACTTGCCAACCCAAAAGGGTTGTCATCACCCTTAGGGGCATATCCCTACCGAGCTACTGACCCACACACGAAAGTTTTTAGATGCAATCGCAAAGGTAGATCATTCAAGGGCGTTTTCTCATTTTGCTGTAGTATAGAAAATATTTTAGGGTCCTGATCTCTTAAGTACGAAGCGTACGTCGGTCAACTAAGACTGTCTTAACCAAGCGTGAAACCAAAACTATTTCTAGTCCCTTAGACGTACAGTCAAAATAAAGTTATAGCAACCACACATGACTAAGATTAAACACGCATACACCCATCTTTATACATTTCTAATCTTCTTGGGTGACTTCCTACTTTGCGGATAATTCTTGATAAGGTGCATTACTTGAAGTTTTGCATATCTCTTCCTATAGGAAGTGGTATGGGGTACTCCTCCTTCTCCGAGCACAAGACTCGGATCTTAGAAGTCCGTCCGTCTTCACTGAATCGACAAAGTACCCCCTCGTAGAACGGTCCACTCTGGGTCGGTAACAGGGTCGGCTCCTAAAACAACGAACCCCCGCCCCATATTCTCCCTAGAGAAAGAAACTGTTCTTTTTTTTTTTTATATAAGTTCAGGGTAACCTAGATGAAATAAATTAGAGGAGGTAGAAAGTGAGAATCATTTGAACAGGTATAGGTAGACAAGGTTCTTTGGGATAGAAAGGGTCAACCCTCGGAAAAATACTAAGTCTGATTATCTTCATCTTCATTATATTCACGAGTTTCTTTCCTATGGTACCCGTTGAAATTATTCACTTTAAAATACAAGTGCTTTTAACATGGAGGCATGTGAAAGGTAGAAAAATGACAATTTTTTTTTCCATCTAAAATAGGCATAATCAATCTTCTTTGCAAACATCCTTTTACCTACCTCACACCAATCCGAAGCAAATAAGTTGGGAAAAAACAAGCAAAAATCCCATACCCAAAGTCAGACTTTTTCATTCACATGCATGACTTGCACAACTTTCCTCTACTTTTTTCTTTCGAACATTTAAAACAAATATTGTCAAACAAAGTATGAGTTCACACATGTGTAAAGGAAAATTTGAGTCAATCAACTGACCTTGAGTGAAGTTTGATCTGACTCACTCAAGAAAGCCGAGTAAGATTTCAATCCAAAAACATATCCGTTGTTGAATTTCATAATACGACACTCAAAACTTCACAAGTCGTGACCTCTTCATTTGAACGACGGTCTGTCTCCTTCTCTAAGTGTCCGATCGTGCAAGGGGCAGGTCCACTGAAAGGACTCGATGAGATAACCCTTAAAGAGAGTGTTCTTAACAATGAGTCTCACGTGGTCGTAGTGCCCCACATAGTCCCGGCTACACCACGACCTCCAAGGATCTGTCCCAAACCAACTTGCAGATCCACATCACCTCAAACCACTGCGCCCGCTTAAAATAGCTACACCAATCGCTCGTGCCCCAACTTCGAGTTGATCCCAATGGGTCCAAAAAATGGTCCCATGTAGTTCCACTCTTGCCTGCAACACCGAATGGTCTCAAACACCAATCCGGTTCACACTATGCGCCGCCAAAAAAAATAAAGGTGGTCCCCAACAGACACCGCACGTGTCGCAACACCAATAGTCACTGCTGTGTGCAGTCACTTCCCACTCTCTTCATGTCGTTGGTCCACGCACCACTGCCTCACAATCTCAACCGTGCACCAGTTCTAGCCCAACCTTTAGGCCAAACTGGGATCCACCATAACCGCTGCGCACCACAAAAGAACACAACAGTGGGATCATCGATCATTGTGTCATAAAAAAACGGCACCATTGTTGTCCAGCAGCACCGCCACCTGCTCACAAACCACAACAAAAAGACCAACTGTGCCGCAAAATTTTGACAACACAACCCCTCAATAAATAATATCGTTGGCCTTGACCTGTCCTCTTCCAACAACGTCTCCTCTCATCTTGCAGACCTCAAACTCTCCATCAACAACCTCTCCCCTCCAAGCAGCATTTCCTCTAGCGGCTCCTCCAAGCAACACTTCCTCTAAATGTTCGAATGAATGAGGTAGTTGGGAAAAAAGTTTCCTTTATATTGTGGTCGAAGGTTTGCTCCAGGACATAAACTCATCTTGAGCCCTTAATCTCGATCAAGGGTAAGGAACAATCGAGCCCTTTAAGCTCTTTTTTCTCTTCCATTTGCCATATATGCACACTTTTGCACCCAATCGCAACCGCAGCCACATACGTGGCCATTTCCTTTGCCACATCTACACACTTATACACACTTATGCATCTAATCGCAACCTCGGCCACGTACGTGGCAGAAATCATAAAGGGTTAACGGTTTGCAGTTTAGTTACAGGACCGGTTTGCCGTTTAACATGAGTTTAACATGAGTTTGACCTGGTGAATGTCTGGTGCGGATGTGAATTGTTGGGCCCCTTCACCCAACAGCGGTTTAGTTAGGGATACCGACCCAAGAGGCTCGGAGGTCGGCACAAAAAATCCCCTGGTGGTTTAACAACGAACGAACGGGGTCATTTCAGTCGAACTAGAGTCAAACTCAATGGGTTTTTTTTCCCCTCGCGCGCCCACACTTGAGGTTCAGACGCACTAAACCTCGCTGCCTATTTTCGAAGCCCAACGAACACAGGTAAGTGTTGCAGCGGCGTTGGGGAACGAAGGAAG